ACACACACACACACACACACACACACACACACACACACACACACACACACACTTTTAACACTCCCAAAGGGACAGTGATCTATTGTGCAACTCAGATGGGCATCGCTGCAGCCTGTCAGTCACACACACACACACACACACACACACACACACACACATGCACGCACTGACCGTAACCACTGACCCACAAATCTGCTTGGATCAGGATGGATGTCTTTTGAATCTGTTTTATCACCTATTTTGTTTATATAATTAAATAGTCTTAAGTAACAGTAACATTAAAATTAACATTTTAATAGGATATCCAGGTTAGTTGTTAGAGAGTTGATGTAAAAGACAGTGATGGTCTGATCAGAGACAGGTTGTTCCTCTTCCATCAGTCATCACCTTTTATCATCCATCCCCCCTTCCTCTCTCTCTCACTCTCTCTCTCTCTCTCGTCCCTGCTGTCTCCCTCTGCTCTCTAACTGTTACCATTTAGGGTATCCATGCCCCACTGCCAACAGCGAGGAATGTGTGTGTGTGTTGTGTTACAGCCTGTGTGATGTTTTTTGTGTCTCCACCATGTGTTTGTGGACGCTTGTATTGTTCTCCTACGCACTCCAACGTTGGTAACTCACACAAGTATTTTCTGGGGGTAATAACGTACACGGAGCACTTATATTCAGGCTTTCTCAGTATCAGCTGGCCTTTGTGTGCAAGCGTCAAGGTGTGTGGGCGCTGGTGTGTCAAAGGTTGTTTGTGTGCAGAGGCGTTTGGGAGTGTGTGAGTGCGTGTGCGCAGGCGTTAGTCACTCGCCATTGTACGACACACTGCGCATGGAGGCATTTGACCCTCAATAATAGATGTGGCTGCAGTGAATATTTAATGAGTGGGGGTGTAGATACATGCACACTTTTACACACATACACAAACTCACGGGGAAATGGAAATATAATATCCACGCCTGTATGACTTTTGGACTGAAGCTCTTAGGGAAGTGGTCTCTGTGTGATGGAGTTATGCTCTCAGCAAAAGATACAACCAGATGTATTATTTTTCAGCCCCTTTCTTATGCTTCTCTCACTTACTTCAAACAGGGCTCCCAGGATAGTGCTGGTGGTCAGGAGGGACTCGTACCCCCACCTTTCTCCGCATTCCCTCCACCTCCTCCGCCACCCCCCCAGAACGGCCTGGCCCTGGATTACGGGGGAAGCCTTTATGCAGCGGGGGCTGTGCAGGGTCCAGTGGAAGCCGGTGGAGCAGCTAACAGCGCTGCCAACGCCGCCAACAGCCTCAGTGCCCAAGTGAGTGCCAGCCTCATTCTCTGCGTGTAGTCCACATCAAGGCTCCTGGACATGGAGCATAAAAGTGTGTAGAAATGTTCATGTGTTGTAGATGTTATAGATTTAAAATGTTGCACCAATCTGACTTTTTCCACACCACTCCAGTTCTGATACTCAAGGCTAAAGTCTTATAACAGGTACAGATTCAGTACTTTTTCAGTAGCTTTCTCAACTCGAACTCCTCACAAATTCAAATTAGAATGACACTGCGAGAGTGCACACTTCCAGTGCACAACAGCCCCCTTATGGAATTTAAATCCAGGTCTGCACCAAATTGAAAACACTCCATATCAGTCCCCTAAACATTTTCTTTCATCAAGATTCATGAATTATTCTCTCAATAATCATTTAAAATGTTGAAGAAAGTGAAAAATATTTGTGGATCTGCCCCCTGATCAGAGAAATTTGATGGGTTCTTTCTCGGGACACGTCCCAGCCCTCCACAAGATGTAAAGCCATCCATTAATACGTTCTTTTCTCACAATCCCACTAATAAACAAACAAACACAGATGAAAACATAACCTCCTTGGTGAAGGTACAAATGCATGGTAATTCAAGAATGTGGTATTAATGCTGCACATGTAGATCAGATGGAGAGGACATGAATGAGTGGGAGGTAGCAGTGTGATCAGTACTGTATACTTCAATAGTAGTGGTAGTAGATAGATAGATACATTACTTTATTCATCCCCGAAGGGAAATTAAGTTAGGTAGTAGTAAATGTACTGCTGTACCACTGTAGTATTTACATTATTACTCTACTGTCATACTGTCACATATTGAGGGTTGATTGCTCACTGATTTTAAGCATTTAAATAAAGAGAATTACTTGATTTCACAAAAAAATGATAAGAAGTTGAAGGAAAGCAGTAATGAACATTATTAAATGACATCACTTGTATTCTACTAACTTCAGCAGATTTGTGTGAAGTAATTCCAACTTAAATTGGAGAAGTCATACATACATGGTTTTTGGTTTGTGAATTCATTTTTAGTAAAAGTAATTTTCTTCTAAATTGATTATGAACTTTACAGTAGCAACAGTGACACTTTATCATGACAAGAACCAAACTGTATTCATTGTGACTGGTGATGTCCGGCAGAATCCACTTAAAGTCAGACTCCAGGAAGTGAGCTTACCCGGCCGAGACACTGCTTGTTGTTTTTACGCTTGAACGGACAGATATGAGTGCAGTATCGATCTTTTCAGCGAAAGCTCCGCAAGAAGGCAAATTGCACATTTCCCTAAATGTTGAACTGTTTTTAATAAGGTCAGAACCTGTGCTGATGCCCAAACAACGAAAACACATAACAAAGGCTTTGGTTTCTGTAACTGAAATGTGACAATTGCCTATTTTAAACCCTCTGCGATCAAATACAACCAATTTGATTTATGTTGTACAACAAAATCATCCATCGGTTTCTCAAGAAAATAAAAACTGATTAATGAAAACCACAGTTAATTGATTCCCTAGAGCTTCAACAGTGTAACCAATAAAAACATGAGCTTATAGATTTTTTTATTTGAGTCACTGATTTCTTATTTTACAATCCTTCCTCCTTTGTCTATGCTTTCTCCTCTGTGTCTCCCACACATCCTTATGTCCCAGCAGTCAGATGGATCCTCCCAGATTGACGTACAGTCCGGGGTTGGCTCAGGAGGAGGAGGCGGCGGGGGGAGCATCGGGGATGATTCGGACGCCAAGGGGACCCCCAAGCGCCTCCACGTGTCCAACATCCCCTTCCGCTTCCGAGACCCAGACCTGCGGCAGATGTTTGGGGTTTGTAGACTAGAATATTCTTTTTTATATTTTATTAATGTAAAAGTAGCTTTGGTTCAAAACACACACTTGGTAAATATAATGACTCAAAGGAGTTACTCAGTGACGTCAGCACACTTCAACACCTGACAGGACGTTTACTGATTATTTCCTATGATATTTCATACATTTCTAAATTATACATAAGCCTCTGTCATACTGGTTTCAGTTCAAATAAATCTTAGCTCGTCATATGTGACAGAATATCTACAACAATTACTCATCAGCAGGATATCTAAAGTCGTGTGTCCAAACGTGATCTTGTGCTGGATGTTTTATAAGAGGAGCGTCTCTAAAATGTGCTGCATAGAAAAGAGCCGAGGCAGCGAAGATATGGTGGGAAGAAAAGGACTAGCAGAGCTGGCACAGTGCCAGCCCATCATGCTTGAACAGTGCTGACACCCCGTGGCAGGAGTACAGCACATGGCTTACATGCCTCTGCAGCCTCCTCATTTTCCTCCTCTCTTCTTTTTTCCTGTCAGCAATTTGGCAAAATCCTCGACGTGGAGATCATTTTCAACGAGAGGGGATCCAAGGTACACAACGGCTAATTTCTTAAATTCATCGACTCAAATGAAATTCAGGAGAAGCCCAACAACTGTTTAAGCTTCTCTCACTCGCCCCCTCCTTTTCATTTTCCATTCTCGTCTTCTTTCTGCTTGCAGGGCTTCGGCTTTGTGACATTCGAGACGAGCGCGGACGCAGAGAGGGCCCGAGAGAAGCTTCACGGCACTCTGGTGGAAGGACGTAAAATCGAGGTAACTCATCCCCTCCCCCACTTTTCTTTAGAATTTTTGAAATGGTGACCATTTTCTCCTCTGTTTTCCCTCCCATGTCCGACAATGAGAATGAGTTTTGTTCTGGTCGTTGCTGCCCCAGAGAAGGTTTTTTTTTTTTCAGATGGGCTGTATGTGTTTAAATCTAACCCCCTCTGGCTTCACTATAGCATGGTGCAGTGGTGCCGCGCACACAAGACGTCTCTCCTCTGACGGCACTTCCTGTTGATGTTCATGCTGTTGTCTGTTCTTTTGTCGTTGATGTCGTGGGCTGTCCATTGCACCTTGATCTTTAAAAGCTGTGTGGTTTGCAAAGCATGCTGGGTGGAGTGGCTACACAACAGGCATGGCCGGCGAGGCGTCGCTACGACATGATTGTTTGGCGATAAATTGCGCTTCTGTCACAGCATGTAGGATCTTACTTTTCCTGCACCTTTTCCATCACCATCATCACCCCTGCCATGATCATGACGAGTGGCTGTTTTTGGTTTACGGTTACGATTGGAAGAGCAGTCAACAGCCTCAGTTATTTTTCCTCTAAAAAAGTGCTTGCTGGTGACTGTAAGAGGATTCTGTATGTTGCATGAATGGATCATGAGGTCAGATCTTTGGAGTTTTTTACTCTATCACTAGCTCAGGTGCCTCTGGGTCGCACTTTTTCTTTTTTATTTCAATGTGTGATGTGTTACGAGACTGATGCATGATGGGGGTCATTTTCAGGGGGTCAGTTTTTGGGAATGGGACTGCCGGGAGAAATGTGGTGTCATTTCTGATGCTTTAATAGAAAAAAGAAGCTGTTTTCAGACGTGCGAGATGGATGGTAAAAACAATATGTTTACACACATGCTTGCATCCACCACTCCTGAAAAAAAGAGAACCAGATCTCATGGAAGTGCATTTTGTCGTGACATATCTCTTTAATTTGTCGGCATGAGCTTGGATTTCAGTTGCAAATGGCCTCGGAGATGAAACACACCACGCTTTTTGCCATTTGCTCCAGCTCTTATTTTCAAATCACGCTTTACAGTCTTTTTTTGAAGCAACTAAAGCTCTTCTGCATGGTCTTGAATGTCCTGCACTTTTCTGTGTGTGGGTGTGCTGAAAAAAAAACCAAGGAGAGAATGAACAAATGAAGAGAATGCAACAGATAGCTGTCGTTCCCTCTTCTTTCCTTTTGTTTTTGTGTGTGTTTATATATCTCCTCCATCTCTCTTCACTCTTTCTCACCAGGCCAGTCTGTCTGTCCGTCTCTCCCAGTTTGTGTCCCCTTGTGCATCTCTGCTGTCCATCCCTCCCTCCATATCTCTGTCCATCTCCCCATCATATAGTCAGGTAGAATAAACTCTGGAGAATGGGACTAAGTTTAATACATTTTTTTGTGATTTAAATATTTTCTGCGCAGTTTCCCTCTCAAGTTAGATTTAAATTTCTGATATGATCTGTTTCCATTTGTTTTCTAAGCTTTGTATGATCTATGTTTGTAGCAGGGTTTTTAAAACAGTAGAGGTTAGATTGTCGTGCAATGGCTGATACTTGTAGGTGACTGTTGACACGTGACCTGTGACATCACTTCCTCTCTACCACAGGGTGGGGGTTGCCTTTCATTACCTCGTTTTTTTGTTTGTTTGTTTTTTTTTCTTTTTTTTTTTCTTTTTGGTTCATCATTTCTTTCTTACATATATTTTCTCTATTTCCCTGATGATTTTTGTATGTTGTTGTTGTTGTCAGTCTCCACGGTAACTGCTCGCGTGTCCTCACGCCGTTTCCCTGGCAACGGTAAGTTGTGTACACATGGCATCATCTTTGAATGACCCCTCCCCCCACCCCATCCGTCCAAATGAAATAAAATGCACCCAACACCCAAAATGAGAGACTCCCTTCAGCACAGGGGGCTCGATTGATTGATCGATTGATTGATAGAACCGGATTGGCTAATCCTGTGATTGATTGATTGTTTGGGGAGGTGGAGAATGAAACGATTACGAGATTAGCCATTGACCGCATGGCAAAATGAAGGCCACTTGTATAACTGAATGTACTGCATCTATCTGCAAGTGCAACAACTATGACTACCACTTCTTATGCATTCATTCCAATCACCTCTCTAACTGCATTGAGCATTTAATTCCAGAGCTGTATATCCTGCATGGTTTACTCTCTTTCTTGTCATCTGTATGACACCATATACTGTAGTACTATGTCATCTCTCTGTGTCATGTGTCAGCCAATAGCTGCATTTTTTGCACCTTAGTGGGACAGCATGCTGAAGCATGAGTGCTGTGTTAGCTTTACTGGAGAGAGGGTAATAGTCATGTGTACATGGTGATTTGCTGTAGCACTCGATTATGACTTTCTTTATCATGGTTGTAGACTGTAGATAGTTGTAGAGGTACCACTGCTCAGTTTTAACTTTCAAAATAAAGAACAAATATGTGGAGGAATAGCTAGAGAAGGATGCAAGCATACACTCATTTCAGGCACATCTACTTTTTGTATTTGATATGTAGCTTTTGAGATGTTTAAGAAAGAAAGAAAAAAGCTGCCATGAAATAATTAGTTGACCCCAGCAAAGCAAACCCAGCCACAGATTAGCTTTTTTCAATCATCCCTGTAAGGAGGTGTCTTTATTTGACCTTTTCGGTCAGTTTGGTTCTGGATGGTGTGTGTTGGTGGTTGTGTGCTTCAAGGTTTTCTCCCGGTGTGCGACACTGATCTAGAATGCTTGGCAGTGTTTCACAACCTCGGTTTGATTTGATTTTTTATCTTCTTTTTTTTTGAGGAATGATATTTGCATCCCCCATCCTCTCTCGACTGTTCTCTCTCTGTACTCGTTCTTGATCCATTCGCTCTTTCTTCATCATCGCTCACATACAGTTAGAGCCAATGTAGGCGAATTGTAGGATGTGTTTTGTGCGTGCGTGCGTGTGTGTGTGTGTGTGTGTGTGCTGCATCTTGTTGTTGCTGTCTGTTCAATAGAAGAGTTGCACATTTGGATGGATTATTCACTCTCTCTGTCTCTCTCCTCCATCATGTACATGTTTTTTTCTGTGTCTTTTCATGTGGACTGGCTCCTCCTCCTGCATCCCTCCATATTTCTGTCTTTTCTCTGTCGTGCTCTCTCCCTACCCTTCCTCCTCTTTCTGTATGATGTGTATTGGATTGGGAAGGCTGCCAGCCTCTTTTTGATTGGTCTCTTGCTGCATCTGATGCTTGCTGATTGGCTCGTTTTGCTCACCACTGGTGATGTGATGCGCTCTTGATTGGCTGTGCGTAATTTTTGTATGAACTCTTGGATTGATGTTTTTTGCATTGTGTTCAACTGATGAATCTGCCGCTTAATTCACCTTCTTTTTCCCTCCCTTATTTTTTAAAGGTAGCACTATAATGGTCTTGGATTTCTTTTTGAATGCATCTGTTCTGGAATATTTTGTTGTTTTCTTTGTTCCGTGTGCCAATGGTTGTATTGTTTGTCTGCCAAACTGCCTGATACTCACCAGGATCCTTGTTTTCAATGTCTTTCTCCTTCAAAAGAAGTGCATGCATCAATTACCATCGCTGCTCATCAACAGAATTAACCTCCGTCATAACTAAAAGAAACTGTTTATAAGTATAATGACACCTCAGACTTCAAGTACAAGAATATTATGAAAACTCTGATCATTTATACTTTTCAGCTTCAGAATAAAACACAAACTTAAAACGTTATCGATCTCTGCATCATTTGGACCATTCCTCAATACCAGTGTTTCTAATGAAGTGGGTTGAAATGGCCTCTGACCACTTCCTCTGGTGTCCAGGTCAATAACGCCACAGCCAGAGTGATGACGAACAAGAAGATGACCACGCCGTATTCGAACGGAGAGGGCCTTGCTGCTCTTCCATACGGTAGTACATCCTGTGTATACTATACTCTTTTCTGTACAGATAGTATCACATTATCAATTTTGAGTAATACAATATAAACAGATAATGTAGAAATGTTATGAATTTAATGAAATTAATTATGTTTTATGGATAATGTGTAGGACAAAAAACTTATTTTGTTAATTTTCCTCACAATTTGCTTGTCATCATGATTTGACTGATACACTTTTGTAAATCATACCATGATTCTATAATCATGAGGGGATTTAACATGCGTCATCCGGTTACATTGATTATTTGATTATTTTAAACAAGTCGTACAAATGTGTTACCGCTTTGGGGATTTTCCTGTTGAGTACTTTTACAAACTGGTGTTGCATGTTTCTGTTGACTACAGCTGGATGGAAGTTGAGTCCCATGGTTGGAGCGATGTACAGTCCTGAGCTCTATACAGGTGAGACGACACGTGTCATCTGCATCTTTTTTTAATAATTTTAGAAATCTCTGTCTGTTTGTGGCTCTAATATCTTGAGAACCGTTCGTCATATTGACGTAACACTTGGCATGTGTTTTGTTAAAGGCAGAAGGAAGTGCAATGTCGACTATAGTGTGATAAGTTCAGTCTGAACTTTGAACAAACAGGTGAACAGCTCTTTGTGCAGCAGTGGTGGTGCAGCTTCAGGGTTCTGTGGGCCGAGTCCCTCAGCTGGTCTTTGCTTGTCACGGCTTGATTACTGCAGGTCACTTTTACAGTTTCAGAAAGTAATCTGCAACCAGCATCACCACAGGCCAAACAAACAGCTCGTTCCGAACAGACAGGATTAGAACAGGCGCTGCACATAAACAGAGATGTAATGAAAAAAGTAAAATAAAACATTAGAAATGATAATAGAAGCTGCTCTCTTTCTGTCTTCATGATTTCTCTCTCTCTCCTGCTCATTCAGTACCAGGGTTCCCATACCCAGCAGCGGCAGCAGCTGCTTCCACTGCGGCGACCTTTCGAGGCGCTCATCTCCGGGGTCGTGCCCGGCCCGTCTACAGTGCAGTCAGGGCAGCTGTGCCACAACCTGCCATCCCTACATATCCTGGGTAAGCACACATAAACAGCATTCCGAACTACAGTAGCACTACTGATAATAAAAAGCTATGTCATACGTACCTTCTTAAATGCATGAGTTCACTTAGTTAAAACAGTCATTTATAATTGTGCATGCTGTGTGTTTGAATATATTTTTATTAAGATAATGACGTTGATCGCTTGCTGAGCTGAAATACCATTTCCTTGTACCTCTGGAGTAGCAATGATATGACTCTTCAGTGCATTCAAATCAAATGGAACAGTATTTTTTACTAGATGTTAGTCTCACCGGCTGCAGTAGCAGTAGTATCACTCTGTAGTCGGTGTGTTCGTATACAAAGAGGTGGTATTTTTGTCTTGCATGTTGCACGGTGTGTAATAATCTCACCCCTCTTTCTCTTCTCTCTTTCACAATCTGTTTGGCACCGTTTTCTCACTTCTCTCTCTCCCCCTCAATTGCCACCCTCGTTTGTTATTTTCTGCAATGCCCACACGGTGGCGCATCACACCATTATTTCTTTTTGTTTGTTTCGACATTCCACCACCACTCCTCTATATTCTCTCCTTTCCTTCTTTCCTTTCTCGTCTCTCTCTCTCAGTGTGATGGCCTATCAGGATGGTTTTTACGGTGCGGCTGATCTCTATGTAAGTATACCGCTCTCTCTCCTCCACTGCCTCACCTCCTCACCTATGTTTCCCCCATCTTGCCTGTGGGTTTTGAAGTGTGAAACGGCACAGACCAAACCCAGAGACGTGTACTTTTGGGTGTTTACATTCATCAAGAGACACAATCTATGTACTGTATACCCAATCGTTAATTTCTCCAGTTATGTTCACTTTTCATCAGCATGCACCGTCCATCCTATACATATAGAAACACAAACAATCCAACACAAACACACCTTAACCACATTCATGAGTAGACTCCTCGAGGGTTTGTCTCTGTGCATTTGTGAATTAGTTTGAACCAATGTGATTATGAGCATGTGTCTGAGTGTGTAATGGTGTGTTGTATGTGCGTGTGTGTGTGACCAGGTTGACAATAGCTGTTTCTGTTCTCTCTGTAGACTAGTGTTTCAGGACATTAGTGGCAGATTGCCCCAGGTAGGGTTGACACACTCTGTGTGAGAGCCAGTGTGCATCCTCCTCGTCTCCAATGACTGCGTGCTGCTAGACATTATTGACCATCTGAGATTGAAATGCCTTCTCTGTCTTCTACTAACTCACTGGATTCTGACATGGGTGGAGTTGCGGAAGGGGGAGAAAAGAATTAAGTTTCAATCTGAATCCTAAAGAGCATACAAAATAAAACTGTCTCTCAAAAAATATCTTGTCAGGAGAAGTGAATCTATATGTTCCAGGAAAATTGGATGCAGAGAAGGACAGAACTTGAACAGTGGGTCACTTTCTTTAACAGGATGCTGCACTGGTGGTCGTCTGGTGCAGATAATTTTGCACATTTAACACACTAGCTTACTCGTAAGTGTGAAAACTAAAATATTGGCATCTACCCTGATGTTATCACCTAACATTCATCAAAATTCATCCAGGATTTTGATGCAATTTATGTAATTCTTGAGGCAAATGAACATTATATCATATTATTTGACAAATTCGCACACTTTTTTTTTAGGATTTGTTTCCAAATATTAAAAAAATGGGTAATTTAGGTTATAAAGCAGGATTTTGTTACAATACATCTTCATCAATACCCTTTAAGACTAAAACAATTATTATAACGTAATCGCAAAGACTATGAAATAATAATATGACATGAATAAAGACACTAAAAGCTGAGAATATGCAGTTGACAGAGGGATGCAAGAGAAAAATTATTTATTCCATCAGCAGTTTATTCAGACCCCTTCCAGGAATCTCCCTATCTGTTTCACCTGTGGCATGCTAACTGAATCAGTGTCAGCATGCAGACATACTTACAAGGCTGACCACCCCTCCAAGTCCTCCAAGTCCTCCCTATTTCCTCCCACTCTTTTCTTTTCTTTCTATAGACCCCCCCATCTTTCTGTCACTCTTTCTTCACTTTTTCTCACTCTGACCCCGTTCAGACCTGGTATTTGCATCGGCCCTGAGTGATCCGATCACAAGTGGCCAGCGCTGTGCACGGGTCTGAATGCAACTAAATGCGTCCTCAATGCGTCCTGGGACCAGATTTGAACCACTACAGTTTCAGAGTGAATCTAAAGTACACTCAATGCCCATACGGTAATTTGTTTGTATCCATGATATCAACGCTGATCACCACATAATGACTGATAATTTTTGTAAGCTGGTAAAATCTTTCTTAACAGCACAGTGGCACGAGATCCATTCAGCGCCTCCTGACTCCTCTCTCACTGACACTCTCTCTCTTGCTCACTCACTTGTGCCGACACACACCAACACAGGGACATCAGACACATCTGTAAACTCTGACTGGGTCAAAATGACATAATTTGGTCCTAGTGAACAGAAAACAAACATGTATATAATTATTCGCACATAGAACGGTGCGAGATCTGATCACAGGACGTATTTTAAAGCCAGGTGTGAATAGGGCCTCTGTTCATTCCATCTTCTGTCCTATACATTTTTCTTTACCTGCTCTCACTTTCTTCTGCAATTTCTCCTCCTTGTGTCCTATAATCTTTATCACATACTGTGATATCACCTCCTTTATCATCATGTTACCTTCCTCCTCTCCCTCCACTTCCCCACCCCCCAGTCCAGCCTTCTTCCCATAGCAGCAACTGTGTGGTCCTGAATGTGGGGACATGGTCGCGACTGATTCTTTAGGGTAGAATGTGGCGGTGTGTGTTTTTTTTTGCATTTTATTTATTTTTTAATGAATAGATTACATGTTTTGCCCTAATACACTGTACGTTCTGAGTTGGGATGGCATGCTGTGTCTATCAGTGATTGATCACTGGCCACGTGAGCGTATCTGTGTGTGTGTGTGTGTGTGTATGTGTTTCCGTTTTTTTTAACCTGACTGGCTGACCTGTCTTCTTACACCTGTAGTTATTTTGTTGTGTCTGTTCATCAGCTGTTCATCCAAACATAAATAATGACACGATCATCCTGCCACCCCCTCCCCTTTCTTTAACTGTGGGTTTTTGGTAGGGGAAGTTGGGAGGGGCACAGTTATGGGTATGAAATCTCTCTCCCTCCCTGTCCAACGCTCAGTGGGAAAAATATTAACTTAGAAAATGATTTCAAACAGTAAAATCCTCAACGAAATCCTTCCCCGGGATTCTCATGGAGGGAGAGACACACACAGAGCCTGAGCTACGTCCTTGTGAATGCTGTACTGCACCAGATTAGCCAGTTTTGCTGACTGCTTGTTAATCTTCCGCTCTCTTCTCAGCATTTTTTCTCACAACGTAACCCTTTAGATTCACTACTAGTCTGTTAGTCTGCAGAGGAAAAACAGGAATCTGTTAACAAGCATTTACTCTCTTTTTCTGTCCCGTCCCACCTCTCTCTTTTCATTTGTGTCTCTCTCTCTCTGCTACTGTACACAATGCCCTCTTCCCCCGTCTGTCCTCCTCCTCATCGCCTCCTCACAGGGTGGCTATGCAGCGTATCGTTACGCCCAGCCAGCTGCGGTAGCAACACCTGCGGCGGCGGCGGCCGCAGCAGCCGCTTACAGTGACAGGTAAGTGGGATATTCAGTACATCTCAGAGCCTGATCTGACAGGACAACACCTGCAGAACTTGGTCTTGAGACAGATGTAGTGCCTAAACAAATCACCGGCCAGGAAGTGAGCTTTAAACATGACCTCCATTCTTCCTTAGATTCTAGAAGATGATTTTGGGATTTGTACAGAAATGTACCTCCTTCAATTAAAATCTACTTTTTCACCTTGGTCACATGTTGATTTTTTTTTATACCATGATGCCTGATTCTAATTTGAGGAACACAGATTCATTTTTATGATTTTAGATTCTATACAATGCATAATTCTTGATGTATCTGCTGTTTTCTCTCAGCTATGGACGAGTGTACACGGCAGACCCCTATCATGCTGCACTCGCCCCAGCCGCCTATGGAGTTGGAGCCATGGTAAGTCCATTTATATTCTACTATTTAAAGGATAAGCCTCCAATTATTCTATATTTTTTTAAAACTGACATTGCTCACGTCCGCCTCTCAGCACGTTCCTATCGTGTCTGTAGCACCAAGCCACAAGATGCAAAGCGAAGATTTAAATTTATTCAAACTTAAAAAAGAGGCTCCAAAATTGTACATTTGTTGAAAACATTTTAGCCACAAATTACTATGCATTAAATGCTTTTTGTGTTTATACCACTAGGATCCAGGCTGGATAGTAAACTAAGCAAAACATGCAACAGCTCTGGGACAACACTTAACAGAACTTAGAGAAGATTCTTTTGACTTGAATGATATGTAATGGTAAATATGTGCAATAAAAACAGAATATTAAATACATGACTGGTACAACAAATGGTACACTTAGCACATATAATACAATATGATAAACTTTGGGTGATTTCATCGGGCCGTCAGCCGGTTAATGTGACCAAGATGCTTAATTAATGGTGTCATATTAAATGTAGTCATTGATTTTATTCACTAATTGTTTTTCTTTTACAGGCAACGCTGTACAGGGGAGGCTACAGTAGATTTGCCCCTTATTAAGGATACTACATTTCCCAGGAGCTCCTTTCTTCCATTGAATTACTCTAAAAGAGCTCCCTCTGTTGTCGTGGAGGTGGACTGCACCCAGTTTTAAAGCGTGGATTCAACCACAGCAAAGAAATTTCAGATCCCACCCCAGAGCGGTCCCACGTTTTCTTATATATGCTACTACAGAAATAGAGGAATGCTGTATTAAAGACTGATGAATGGCCTTTACATTAAAAAAAAAAAGATGGAAAAAAAAGAGACTTAAAATGGCCACCTTCCCTATTGCACGGCTGTATTATAGTCCCCTTCTTATTCCCTCCGCACTCAGCAGCACAAGACTCGAGATGGAGCCCAGGCATTCTTCCAAAGGCTGTATGTGGATAACTGACATTTAAACAGCTGTCGACCATGTAAGGCGAACAGGCCGAAAGCTGTGGCCCGCACACGCTCGACATTTAAGGAGAGGGAAGCAGGAGAGCGAGGTGTCCACAAAATGTGGAGCAGTAGGAAGGAGTGAGGAGCATCGACCGAGCATCCAAACACAGATTTCTAAGCAGAATGATGAGTCACTATAACAATAAAACACCCACTAATGAGTTTTGGAAGTCCTCTTTAACGTGGGCAGATGGTAACGAGAGAGGATTTCCTTACTCGTTGTGTTCTGGTAGGAGGGGGAATTGAAAGATGGCGGCGTGCAGAGATGATGCGATGATTTTTAACGCTACAGAGATCATGTCCGAAAGCTAAAGGAGGGAAGGTTATCAAAGCTGTTCCTTACCTCGAGTTTTCTTAGTATGTCGAAATGGTGAACCTTTAAACTTTAAAAAAAAAAAATTATGATATGCAATTAGTTTAGAGAAAAAAAGTTACCAAATTATTATTATTATTATTGTAATTATTCTTATTAAAAAAACATTATTTTTGTTTGACTCAGCCACACAGCAGCCACTGCTGTTATGGGACGTGTAGATTAGAGTGAAATCAGAAAAATAGCCTCTATTAAAGTAATATTACACCTTTAGTCAACATAACACAACTATAGATTCACTTCATCCTTTCATGCACAGGATTTCACTACGCTCTGTTTGCAGCCACCACTCAACACTACAGGAAGTGTAACACTACACTAATAAAAAAAAAAAAACATTTGCTCATTTAGTTGTTTTTTTTAAAAGATTAAAATCATCCTCCATCCAAAATCCTGGAGTTTGAGCATTTGTTGATCCTTTTTAAATGTAGAGATTTATTATTTGGATATTTCCCTTCACGCTCCATCTTTTATAGAGCAGAGTCTAACATTGAATGAGTCTTCCTGAAACCTACTTTAGTTGGTAATTGTGTTCGCGACGCTGCCAGCGGCAAGTACTGAGCAAGAGAGAGATTCTGCTGGCGAATGAATAGAAAATATTTAAATGCAAAACACCTTACTATTGTGCATATTTCTATACCGTTGTATTTCCAAAATGTGGCTGTTTTTTGGCTTTTGTTTTTGTTCCAAAGATTTGTAGGAAGCACATTTTTCTGCCGTATGTATAAATATATAATCTTTATTATTGTTATCATAATCCTTGATAATCCTATTGCTGTCTTTATTTGCTTTCTTTCATCTTTTCATTTTTTATATCTTTAATTGTTCTTCAGTAAGGTGCAAGGCCTTGAGCTGAGAGCATACCTGAGTAGAGACAGACTACGGGTATGCTTGTAACACTACCATACCTTATTTCCTCCTCTTAGTTAAATATTCAGTCAGTCTAGGCTGGTGTTTGAATTTGTTTGGTTTTTTGGTTGATTATAGGATTTGCTAGCATGACATTTAATTATATTTTAAAATATGCAGGAAAGGCTGGATTCTTTTTTCTTTCCATGTCCATATTTTGCAGGTGACTGAGACATTTGGAAGAAATAGGCCTGTAGCACTTTGTTAAAATTCAACTGCTTTCTTGTCTTTTTCATGTTTTTTTTAAAATATACATTTTTGTAATGCAAACTCCTTACATTTCAGTTGTAAAATCCGTCAGCTTGGCCGATTTCCAGTAAAATGCTTGAAAGTGTTGTCCTCGACCACACGCAGGTTAAAGGACCAGTGTGTAGGATTTAGTGATATCTACTGGTGAGGTTGTTCATTGCAACCCCTCCCGTCACCTCTGTATGTCAAATCATTCAGCGGAACCTATGGTGGCCTTCAGGTAGAGTATATAGGTGAAAGGCCCTCTCTCGAGACAGAGATTGGCTTGTCCACTCTGGGCGACTGTAAAAACATGTCGGTGCAATGTTGTTGGTTCAGTGAAAGAGGACATGCTCTCTGTGTAGATATGAAGGGCTCATTTTAAACTAACAAATTAAAGTTTCAGGTGATTATACACGAATGAAAACATAGTTATGAATACTATGTTATATTTAAATGTCAATACATCCAAATCCAACACACTGGTCCTTTAATATTCCAAAATGGTGAAAAATAAATGTTTTTTTTTACATTTATGGAAAGACCTGCAGGTCATTAAGTTGCTTCTTTTCTATCAAATGTGCTGCTGTTTTTTTCAGTTAAAATATCTCCATATTGATATAGAATGTGCTCTGGACTAAGAAAAAAAGAAAAGAACCTAGCCAAAGATGCTAACCAACAGTCCCTAGCACGTTCTGGTTCCCAGCTTGAGAAGTGTTACACACAGAGTCGGACTTCTGGAGCCCCTATAGGCATGGACAAACCAGCATGAGCGAGTCTTGTCAAGTTTAAAAAAAAAAAAACAAAAAGAAGTTTGCATGAATCTTGTCTTTCATATTTGACTCCTGAGCAGCCGAGCCCAGTTGTGTTCTTTACCCATAAACTCTGTGGAGAGTGACAGGCAGCTAGCGGTTTGAAGCTAGTTCGACACAACAGTACAGTGAAGAAGTCCTTCTGACAAACAAAATGGCTGCCGCACAAAGATCATTTTCCTGTTGTGGTTTTATTGCCACTGTATTATAGTAAAACGATGTGGCCATTCTTCATAGTTGTTATGGTTTCTATGACCAGTCCTCTTCCTCTGTCATGTCTATATCCCCACCTTGACTGCCATTATGTTTTTTTGTTATTGAATGTCCATATAAAATGTTTTATATAAAATGTTTTGTTGTGAACCAGTTTCCGGGTTCTCTTATTTGGTGTTGTATTTATTTAAAATGATGAGAGAGCATTGTTTTCCAGATTCTCACATGTCAAGAGGTTAGTGCTGAAAACTACCTCTGACTTTATCTTGAACTATAAAGGGTGCAAGCAATCTCTTGTCCATCGTCGTTTGCCTGTTTTTGACAATAATCTCTCATGTAAGTGACTAAATCCTCAGCAGTGTGTCATCTCTGGTGTAAATGAGATCAGCGGTCATCAAGAAAATTACCAGGAAGAGAATCTTCAATATATTTTCATCTGTAACCCTTGGTGTCTTCATGTTAGCTGTTTTTTATTTTGACCTGAGATACAGTTCCCATGCAACAGTTCCTGCGATAGTTCTTTTAAATTTTAAGTATTTCATTTTCATCCCTGAAAAATATAAGTTTGCAATGGAAACATTACTGACTTAGTGTGTAAAGAACTCTGTTTCAGGTCAACTGATTAATGTAAGTTCAGTATTAATTCTCCTTTCACAATGTTTTCGTCTCTAACTCCAGAAACTCAGCCAATAATCAGACCCACCTGACTCCCTCATGAAGAGATCAGTAAGTACAATTCATTTTTAAGTGGCCAAAATGGCCAAAATGTCCACCCGTAAGTTAAAAGTCTAGATGATTCATCACACTTTTCAACCTCATGGTGGCACTAGAGGAAAACCCAAGAGATCACCAGAGTCAGGATGAAATGTCAGAAAACCATTATTGTGGCAATACATTAAATAATTGTTGAACTAATACAGTCTGTACCAAAGTGGCATACATATTGATAGTAGCTTCAATAATGCAGATAGTGATGCATTCAATCATCACTCCCACACATTTATACTGCAACAAGCAGAGAAGTCATTTCTTAGGGGAAACTATTTATTGACAGTTCTATTCAGCTGTTCTTCACAATTCCTATTGACAGTGTGCACACATTTACATTCATAGCTCTTAAAAATCAAAATATATCTTTTATAAACAGCTGTACATTAAGAATGGTGAACTCCAAAGAGGGGGCAGGGTCATGGAGTGGAAAAGGCAGGAGAGAGGAGTGACCGTGCAATTACACCTGCATACAACAGACTTGGTCCATTGTCTCTCAGGTGTGCACAAGCCAAGTGCAAAAATATCAGGAGGAGATAAATAAGTTTGCAGTCTTTGCTCGAAGCATGGACAGCTCGGTGTGTATATAAATAATTATAATAAATAATCTTATAATTACATTTTGACATGTTTTTGGATCAGCTTTGGGTTTTCTTTTTTGTGCAATGTTTCCCAAAACCCATGTGGGCCTAACGCATTGACAAACATCAGATCAGGTACTTTAGGAGGGGAGGGAGAAGAGGAGGGTGAAGGGGAGGAAAACTGGGCGAAGGAATATTGTTGCAGGGAGGTAAAGTAGATGGTTTTCTAGACGATTCCATATTTCGCCAGGTCGCTCAGCTCCATGTCACCAAAGGCTTCCCATGGGCAAACCACTGTGATGTCTGTGCCGAGACCCTCCATGCCGGGGATGTCGTCACCGAAGCTGGAAAAGAGCAAAGGGAGACGTCAGCGTTCGAATCTCACCACGGTCACGGTGGTTTCGTAAAATGACGTGAAAGGCTTTTACCCCTTCTGGCCTGGTTTGGGGGCCTTGCTCTTGAATGTACGAGTCTGCCTCTGCTTGAACTTGGGGGGGGCCTTCTTGTCGGCGGGTGCTGCAACGGCTGTGTCTGCCATTTTTTTTATAGTCTGAGAGAAAAAAAAAGTCAAAAGTCAGGTAATCTTGTTAATCTTCATGTGTAAGACCTTAGCTGATGTAACACACACAGGTGAGGTCCAATTTTAGACCAAAGCTGTGCAGCTCCTTAAGACACAGTTACACAAACAGCTTTGTCTATTTTTACTCCTTGGCTTTAAAGATTACTCCTGGCTAAGTTACAGACTTGTACATCTTGAGACCTGCAGGATAATTTAATTCACTTAATTCCACAGTTAGTCAACCCACATGCTGTACCTTGCAAATTATAAACTGAGAGTCAACTAATTTTCAACCTGCTTTAATCCCAACTATTTCTGACCTCTGTGGTGTCTCACAGAAAAGATCAGCAGGAATCTTCTGTGATGATACTGATAATTACTGTAGCACGTGTAATCAGTGTTGATTAATCAATTAGTTGTACATCCATTTTTTGTATCTGTACTTAACGATATTGTAATAAGATCTTTTCTAATGTACACGTCAGAGATCAAGTTCTGGTAATAAGTAGTTTATTTATTGCTATCACAGATGCTTTCACTGACATTGCCTGTATTTACAATTCAATACTATGTGTGTCTTTTCCCATGGGAAAAAGACTAAAATTAAAATTCAACAGATTTGTGAACCCCCTCCCCCCCACCCCCGAACACAAAGAAATACAAATTTGATGAAAGAACAGGTAATTGTTTGATCTTATTCACATATTAAACTGAAAATGCAAACTAGAGCTAATAGAAAAAATTAAAGGGTAAGGTTCTACAAATTCTCTGCATTGTCAGAATTTCTAAATGGCATTATGTCAATATAGAGAATAAAGGAAGTGACCTCCATGGACCTCAGTGCCTCTTCAAAGTAAAAGTAAGTTATGAATTAGGTAAATGTTGCCTATATAACACTTTTAAAAACAATATTGACAAAGTTCTAGCAAAGGTAAACAGGACAATATATACAAAACAAAGATGCAATGTGTAAAACTAATAAAAATATACATTTAGAAGAAGCTAGAGATAAGGCTAAGCAGTGCATCCCAGTACACATGCATGCCTCTTCAAATATTTTAAAATATTTTAAAGATCTATACACAGTGAGAGCTCTTCCATGATTCTCACTGTATCTTTCTGAAGTCCTACAGTGAAGTTCAGAGTGTGATCCTACCTGTTGTTGCAGTCAAACAAATGGGTTCTGTCCAAAGTTCCTCTTCTCAGTGTGAGTCTTTCTGGTGTCTGTACTGCTTCTTCTTATATACACCCCCTGCTAATCCCCCAAACATGCTCATCCATTAACTTCTCCTTTTTTTTCCTAACTCCCCATCCTCTAATTGGCCTTTCTGCTCTATGAGATTAAGGAGGGGGCTCAGGATTCCACCATTATCCGTCAAGACGTGTGACGATGTTTACCTTACATAATGATGCCACTCTGAGAAAAACAAAGTAGAGCCGGATTGTTTTCTGAATATGTTCTTATAGAATAATTTTATTGTACAGTAATAATATATACATTCATGTATTATATATATATCTGTAGGATGATATATTATTCTGCAATGACAATGAATGCATTTCACAGTTTTAAAACACTGATCTTGAATGTGATGATATGAGTGAAAGTTTTAACATTCACTTTTGCAGAGCTTTCATCCACATCAATGTCTTCATCATCTGATTGAGAAAATGAAAGCTGTGGAAAAAGTCATAGAAAGTGGAGTTTGAATGTCAAACTTTTCAGTCACAGAATATAAAGATCATGGATTATAACTGCTGACTTTTCTAAATTAATTTTATGGGTTTTCTTTTATTTCTGCCCTTCGATTCCAATTTTCATGTGACATTATTGTTGAGGTAAATTGTCTCTGTCTCTACCCTCAGTCACTGCCATGAGACGAGGGATTAAAAGCTGAACGATGAAGTGATTTATTTGTCAGCAGTGAGCTAAACGGAGCCTCAGGACGTCTCTTTTACATCACATGCTCCAGATCAGTGTGCAGGCGACATCAGGGCACGTTTGTTTTCAAACCATGCCACTGTACATCCCAGGCTTTGGTATCTTAACGGTTTCTAATCGGTTCTTTAAGTTTCTCTCATTCCTTTAACCCTCCCTCGTGTCTGAACTAGGTATGAGGTCACAGGTATGAGGTCACAGGTCATCCAAGCCAAGTCAGCTTTTTTAAAACTGATGTGTCATGATGACTAGAACTCAGTTGTCAAGGTGTCAGGTAATGGTTTAAGCTTATTCATGACCTTAAATAAACTGTATACTGCATGTATAAAACTAAAAACTACTTATTACAATTAAATGTAGTAGAGAAGTAGGCTTCAGTAAAATCAAAGAAGAATGTAGTGGACTTGAATCCTGGGAAGTTGGAAAATGATTTCATTCATTTATGTTGTAGTCAGTAATTATTTATCATAATAATAAAGTTTAACAAATGTAGAAATCTAACATAAAATGAAATAATAAACTGTAATGTTTAGTATAACTGTTATAATTATAAAAGTGTAAAATGTATAGATGATAAAATGTTGGGTAACACTTTATATTAGGGAACACATATCAACCATTAACTAGTTGCTTCTTAGCATGGATATTAGGGGCATATTGGCTCTTTATTAGTCATTATAAAGCACTTATTAAAGCCTTATTCTTAATGACCTTATTCTGCAACTACTACCTTGATTAACAGTGTTCCCTTAATAACCTCCTAATTACTGCTTATTGATGGTAAGTAAGGAAGTCGATGTACATGAATTACAATCAAGTGCTTGTTTATGTTCACTTTGTGTGTTCCCTAATATAAAGTGTTACCAAATGTTGATAGAATGATTTTGAATAATATACACAGGTTCAAATAGTAGTTAGAGATGTTTAGTTATGTTATAAACACATTACAAAAGCTTTCATGATGCAGGGGTATGTGTGGGTAACAAACTGACTGTGGAGGCCTGTGACACAGACAGACAGAGAAGAGACAATGCTTGTATTATGTGCAGATTTGTTTTGTCTTTAAATTGGTAGTCAGGTGCACTGCCAGCACACGGTGCCAACTTAAGATACACCTTGTATTTATATCTTTCATCCTTGATCTTGTCTATTTGTGGCTAATCTGGAATGGAAGAGGAGCGAGTGGAGTTGGCACATAAAAGAATGACAGATTGAACATCTGAGGGGATTAGCAGCCTGCAGGACTTTAAAAGGGGACAGTCCGACAGTGAGAGGACAAACTGACAAGATCAACAGACAGCATCTTGAAAAACTGTTCTTCATAGACTTCAACACAAGGTAAGATGACACTGCAGTTCTCTCAGGGGGTTCAGGGGGTTCAATGCTCTTCTTGATGTGGCAACATGTGCTGCCTCAGATTTTCAGTTTTCTTAGAGAAGAAGAATGCAGACAGACAAATGGCTTCAGAGTTGTTATCAAGAGACATGGAGCTGAAAATGATACTTGTGTATACTTATGTTAATGGCCTGGTCGATGATCAGCTTGCTGAAGAGGATAGAAAACACTTTAATTTAACAAAAGTGTACGGAAACAGCGCAGTGTAAGATATGAATGAGAAGGCCCAAATGAAATTGAATACAAGCAAAGTGGCAAACTGAAAAGTTTTGATCCAAGGTTTAAAAGATCTGCAAGAAACTCACATTCTATGTTTTTCTCTCCTTTTTCTTTATGTCAGTAACTAAACGAAATGGCAGACGTCGCCGTTGCAGCACCTGCCGACAAAAAGGCTCCTCCTAAATTCAAGCAGAGGGCCATGCGCACCTTCAAGAGTAAGGCACCTAAACCAGGCCAGAAAGGGTAAGACACATTACGATCACACTTTCTCTTAGTGTGCAACTACCCTGTTGTCAGTTTACCACCAGCCTGACTTTATAAACATCAGATGTTTTTTGTCTCCAGATTCGGAGATGACATCCCGGGCATGGAGGGTCTGGGAACAGACATCACCGTGATTTGCCCATGGGAAGCCTTTGGCGACATGGAGCTCAGCGACCTGGCGAAATATGGGATTGTTTAGACCTCTCTCCTCTGCCTTTGCCCCTATTTGCCACTATAGTCGCTCATGTATTCCTACTGTTGTTTAAGCAGCTGAAGATCTACTACCTGTGTGCTTTAGAGAGGAGGCAGCCCTTCATGATTTAGAGGTTTGACCTGGAAAAATAATATTCTGGCACTCTGTCTTGTCCAATGCACTTTAATTGCCCCTGCCTTTCCTGCAATTCACTATCATCCTCTCATACTTTTTTCATCCCTGCCTTCTCTTTTATCCAAAACCTCTCTTTTTTTTCCTATTTTCTCTCTTTCTCTGTATTGACAAATCTAGACAAAGGAAAAATGACAAATGTAATATATTGTTAATCGGATAAATCAGATTAAATTTTGGTCATTTTGTTCTCCAGGGAAAAAAGTCTCTGCTTTGTCTGTTCTGTCAGTAGAGAGGAACAACTCCATAAAAATAATAAATGTGGATTTTCCATAGAACATATGTGATCGTGTTCTTTCTTTTACCAACACAGAGAAATACATACATGTTGTTTCGCCTCTTGTGACTTTCACTGTTTACTGGCCTCACTCAATGCACATACACTTAGCAAAATAAAGCTCTTAGTCCATTGTTGTTTTAGTTTCCGCACTGTTATATTCATCTCTCAAACTGTAAAAATAAATCTGTCTTCAAGGACAGAGGCTGGTGGAAAATAGAAAACAGGGAAGAAAACTTGAAGCCGTTGTTTCCATGGTAACAAAACCTTCTTCTTCACAAAAACGGTCCACTCTATTTCTCCAGAAGAAAAGAGAATTAACACTAACACGAACCCTAACCCACCATTGACATCATATAGGCTACTTCAGAAACTGAGGACATGCACTCTTTAAGATATAAATGAAATATTTAGCAGCTCCTCTGGTTATATCTATGTTTGTGTTGTTTGCTGGTGGCCTCCAGATATCAATGTGCATCTGTGTCACTGCACCAATTAGCTGCCTTCAAACGGGGAGCTGACAGAGAGGACAGTGCTCTGTGCAACGTGGCATAAACATAACAAACCTAATGTTGAATCCTTTGGCCACTTTATCATCAGGGACATGAAGCAGAAAAAGTGGATGAACACAGAGAATGAAAGAGTGAGAGGAGATGAAACAAAGGTCTGGAAAATGACATTTAGACTGATGAACCTCACATAACCAAAGTGTTGTATTATTATCATATTAGTTAATAGTTATAACATTTCTGTGAATATGAATGAATGGATGGATGAATGACTGTATGTATAGTGATTTTAAGGTAGAAATTTCAGGGGCAATATCTCATTCTACTGTGAGCTCTGAGCCTTTAACATATGAAGCCCACACAACATCTCAGTGTAGAGCAGTGGTTCCCAAACTTTTTAGATACATTTTTCTAGTAGTCTTCAGCCCCTCATCACTGGGTGCAAAGAGCTACCACTTACAACAAGTTCAACTAAAAATAGATTTTTGTGCTATTTCTTTAATTTGCAAGTATTAGGGCCATATTGATGAAATCTTTTTTGAGATTTTGAGAATAATTTAATATTGAGAGAATAAAGTTTAAATTGAGAAGAAAGTCTTAATAGAACAAAAATTAAGTAATAATTTAATGAGAAGTTATTTAGGAAATAACCAGCAAGGAGAACCAATATTTGCCAGAGCTCCACTTGAAGACTACAGCCCTATTCTTGTAATTTCAGATTTGTTTCCCTTTCCGTGGCTCTAATTCATATTTTAGTTTGAGCATGAAGAGCAAAGCTACAGCCATGAGAAATATTTTTTTATACATGTACACTAGCGTATAAGGTTTTGTTGTTGCTGACAATGATGCATACCAAAATCTCTTACCCAATAACAACTCAGACATCCAGGAATCACCCACAAATTATAGCATGTGGAAAAAAAAACACAGTTCCTAGAAGGAGAGACTTGATCAACAAGGCCATGTGTCCGTGACTGCACCCTTCTAACTTTGTGTATATGTCTCTGGACATCAGCTTGACTAAATATCTTTACACAAATCAATGTTCTAACATTACATATAGATATAGATTCTTTTCCAAATGCCAGCAGCAGCTTGAACAAAATAAAATTAGATTTTAAAGATTTCTCAGAGAGCTCAGTGCAGAAGGTGAAATTATCTCAGGTGATACTTGGGACCAGAGGATGTTGTTTTCCACTTTGTTTTTTGCTCTGACATGAAGCCATGACTCTCAGTCTGAGGCGAGGTAAGCTGCCATCTTAGGCTCTAAGAGGATTGGGATTTATCCATATGTGTCATTACAGACGTACACGGGTTTTAAAAGTCAGAGATGTTTTCTTTAGAGTTTACCATGACTGTTACTTACAGGAACACATGTACACACATGTACACAGTTGTATTAAGGGGGCAGAGGCTTGTAGGGAAGTGGTGGTGCAGGTGCAGGGGCAGCAATTTTCTGTGGGTTTGTGGTTAAGTCCCTGATTCCCCGACACCCAAGTCAAGAAAGCACATTGGTGTGTAAACAAATGCAGGAGGTGATCCACTGTAGCTGTTCCTCATGGGAGCAGCTAGGATTACAACATGCACACATTGATGGTATTTTTACCATGCTATCCGAGCCATACTTTACATTAAAAAGTTCAATTTGAACTATGATCATGCATTTAGCATAATTTGTAAACATTGCAGATGTGGGTGGATGTTATCATGCACGCCTCTCTATATCTAAAATTTCATTCATTATAATAGTTTTTAAATGAATGAAGCTCAGAATACAAACATTTGATTTAAATCATGACAAGTTTCAACAATACACATGCAACTGATGCAAACCGTAGCTTGTGACATATTTATCTGCAGTAGCTGTTGTAAACAAGCAGTCGCCATTTTGTTTTATTTCTGTGCTGAAGTATTTTTCACCTCGGGTCGACTATCATCAAATCACAGGTTTTATCAGACCACCTTGATTATTACTCAATAAACGAAAATGAAAAAACTGATATTATCAGCTTTTCCACACTGTGGTTATTTCCATTTATTTTCTGATGTGCACAAATCACCTGTTTATTACATAATCACAGCCTGTAATTGCAGTGTCATGCCACATGTTTTGGTCCCTGTATTAAATGCTGATGCAGATTCTGTCTCCTGTGCAGGTGAAGGATTAAACGCTGTCATCAAGGCCGAGGGCTTCCCCATCAGACAGTATTCAGTCTAAGGTACCCACCCATGAAATCCAAACTGAAAACAGTTTCACCATCACTTTCACCTACATCATATTAATCCTAAACCATCAGCAGTTGGACACTTCAGACAAAACGATGTGAATCTGAACTGACACTGGATGAGAGGTGGGGTCCACGCTGGACAGAGCTGAGACCCATCCACACTCACTTTCACATCTACTGCTGATTTAAAGTCCCAAACATACCACTTAAAAAATCTTGGATTTTTTGAAGTATATAATTTTGATAAATTCAAATGATGTGGATATTTTATATTACTTTTCATTTTATGCAGTGTGTTATTGTGAAGTGGTTTTCTTAAATGGTTGTTTTTTTCTTCAATGTTGTAGATGCATCAATCATCTAATTTCAAACCTTTAAAAAGACCTTTAAAGGTGATTATTTTAATAATCTTGATATTTCATACTTGATGTTTCTCGTTTCTTCAAATGATAAATGTGCACATTTGTGTGAGTAAATTGCTTAAGTGAGCCACCACCAGTGTGAGAAGCAGCAGGGTCTGAGGATTATTACCACATGATGTGAGACCTTCACACTCAGGCTGTGTCAAAGCTTAACAGGGTTTAACATTGTGTACCTGAAATATAGTGACGTCTGAAACCTGCAGGCCACAACACAAACACAAGTAATCCATCCGTCCCAGGTTTACCTGCACCCCCTATAGCTCTCATCTGAATGTCAATTCTGTCTAATGTGTTGGGAGCACTCACGCAAACATGATTCAACCTAGTAAATGGCATGATTCTTTAAAATGACAGATGCAACTAAAAAGACATGATGTACCGCAGGGTTTGTGTGTAGAACACAAACATTTATATCCTGCACAGTGCTGGATGAAAATGTTTGTATATGAAGTACATGGCAGTTGCATTGATGTTCAGCATCTGACTGAAGTTTACCTATTGTGTAAAATCATCATCTACATGGTAGATTTAAAAACTTACAGTTTTATGAATTGTTGCTAGTTTATGCTGCTCTGATTTTAAACAAATTAAAAAATGTTTTATTATTGTATGACAAGTATTTGGGAAACTCCAGAGTTTAAGTTTTCCTGAAATAGTCCAAGTGTTGCCACAGAAAACAAGCCAACAACACAGGGTAAAAAATCTGATGTTTTAATTTCTGCCCCTGTGTGATTCTAATCATCACTTTTGCTGTGTTTATTTGTAGCACCAGCTAAATAAGCAGCTGGTGCTGTAATTTTAACCCCAACTGCATCCGTCCTGCGCCTGTCAAACACTTCACACTGCACCACAAAGAGTCAGAAACTGCCAAACAGAACATTTTTCCATTTATTTCTGTCCGTTCTGCTTTTTTCCCTTTCATTCCTTTTCATTTTTTGCCATTCTCCAGGATGCTTCATGTGTCAGGCATGCTGTAAATCAAATGTAAGTTAGAGATGGTAAAGAGGGTTTGTTGCTTTTGAGAATGCAGCTGGAAGCAGAAATAAATATCCTAAGGAGACATTTATGCAGCGATCTAAACAAACAGACGTTTTCTTGTTTGGATTAAACGTCAGAGTGAAATAAAAACAGATTAAGAAATAGAATGGCTGTATGCTAAAAACTATTCCTTCATGGATTTGAATCATCAATTTTAAACACAACCTGTGTTTGTTTATTTTCATAAACACAAAAAATATTTTATGGTTCTTGCTTAAGAAACAACATACTGTTCTGTGTATTTGTTAAATGGGTATTGAGCAATGTTAGAAACACCCCCAATTAACCCCAGAACTACTCCTCTTCTTCTTCTCTTGTACTTATGTATTCTATTATTTATGGATACTTTGTACAAACTAAATAATCACACAGTAACGTGTGTGTAAACTCAGCTGTGTCTGTGTGGTTACACCAGAGAGACAGAAAACATATTTGTAAGTAGATTTATTCTCAGTGGTCGTCACCTGGAAGAAGCTACACGCTAATGCAGGTGGTGTCCGTGTTGTGACGTCTGTAGTTTGTATTTTACTGAAGTCTGTGACGTTAGTGTTGCCCTGATTCACAGTGTTAGTGATTTCCATAAGCCTCCTGTGAACATGCATCGTTCTCCCTGACCCTGTAAATGAGGTCAGAGCTTTGGTTTTGTTAATGATAATAATATTACATCACTACACGGACAAACCTGTATTCAATCATTTCAATCAGACGTGTTGGATAAGGGAAACATTTCATTTCACATTTAGTTCCATTATTGTTTGAATTTTATTCGTGTGGGTCTGGGATTGAAAGTTGTGTACATTC